TTTGCTCAGCAGTCGTTTGTTCAGCAGCTGTTCCTCCCATTCAAAAAAGCCTGAGAGCTAAGGAACGATAGTGCTGCGCTTTTCTCTCTGTCACTGACAGGCTCGTTAAGCGTTGTCAAGGTAACCAGGCTTCAAAGAGATTTTACCTCTGCTGTTTTAAACAGCACATATTAATCTAATGGAGGGTGAAAGCACTGATTTAACATTGGGAAATGGATACTATATGACTGCTGTCCATGACACTTCCCTTGCCACTCAACACTGATAGACTTTCAAAATAAGACTCCAGGGACCCTACAAAATAAAAGCCTCTATATTTTTTACATATATTTATTGCCCTATATGGCTCAACATTATGACCCAAACTCAACCCCATTTTAGAGAATAGACTCTAGGAGACTGTTTAAAACACACCCTATGGCAAATTTCAAAATAAAAGCCTCCCATTTCATCTTCATCTACTGCCCTAATAACATGGAAAAAAGAGTGATTTAACAATTGGAAAGTCATCAACTATCATTGCTGGGTCTGAACATTTTCTCTAAACACAACTCTGTTGGACTTTCAAAATAAGACTCCAGGGACCCTACAAAATAAAAGCCTCTAGATTATACTAATGCAGTAATTGATGCAAATGGCTCAACATTATGACCCAAACATTTCCAGGTTGTTTTTATTAGACTCTAGTGACCTTTTCAAAACACACACCAGAGCAAATTTCACAATAAAAGTCTCCCATTTACTCTGTAATACAGCAGCTATTCACCTAATAACATGGAAAACCAGTGATTTAACATTTGGAAATGGATTCTATATCACTGCTGGGCATGACCCATCTTTTGATGCACATCCATGATAGACTTTCAAAATAACACTACAGGGACTCTACAGAATAAAAGCCTCTTCCTTATACACACTCAATACATTCTGGCATATTGCTCATAGCCATTTGTAATTTTATCACTGCAATGGCTCTGAGCATGCGGGCGGAGCCCGCCATTGGTGATTTCATCACTGCAATGGCTCTTAGAAGGCGGGCGAAGCCCGCCAATGGTGATTTCATCACTGCAATGGCTCTTAGCAGGCGGGCAGAGCCCGCCATTGGTGATTTTTTTCATCGCTGCAAGGGCTCCTAGCAGGCGGGCGGAGCCCGCCAACTGCGCTTTACCCACTGCGGTTCAATATGGACAACCCATATTACCCTTGTGCATCATATGCTGTGCACGTCTATTTCCCAGATTTCAGCACAAGTGGCACACAGCTCTCTTTGCCCATGACCTAGCCCTCTTTCCTTCCCTCAGCAGCCCTCAAAGGCGTAAGCAGTTGGTCTGGGGAGCCCCAACGTCACTTGCCAGGGCCGTATTGGCACAGTTACCCAGACGGGCAGTAGGTGGCCCCCCTCAAAATTTCTTTAGAAATTTTCTAGTTATTTTTATAGCTTATAGTTCTCCTCGCCACCAAAACTTCGGCGCGTAACTAGTCACGCACCATTCATCGGATCGGGCCCAAAGTTGGCACACGCGTCGGGACCAATGGTGCGATGCGTGCTTGTATAAAACTTTCTCATTAGTCCGAAGGTTCGCGAATTATTAGCGAAAACGTCGCAAAAAAAATCCCATAGGAAATGAATGGGGAGAGGAAAAAAAAGCATAAAAAACAGCACTTCACTGTGTCGGCATACATTCATGTAGAAAAACAGTTTAAAGCTCAGTTTGTAGATAAATCCTTCGTCTATTTAAAACTGAAGACGGTATGTTGATAACTGCTACGGTTTTTGTATAATCAGACCTCAAGCGCCACAAAGTTTTAGCAAAATCCACCCTTCTAGAGTGGAGAGACTGAAAAGCTAGAGTGTGAGGCAGCCGTTTTTTTAAGACCAAAAAACATTTTAAACTCGCCCTCACGGCCACATATTTATAGCTAGAGTCACCATTTTTGGTCAGTTTGTAGACTGAAATCTCTGGACCCACACAATGTCTTCGGAATTACGGTAGGATTAATACTTTTCCTTAAAAACCCTCCAGACCGACCTAAAGTCGATCAAAATCAGAGCCGTTTTTCATTGGTTTTGGAGCAGCAGTGGGGAGAAAAACGAATGACATTATGTGTTTTCAACTCGTCATAAATATTTTTCTGAAAGACACACATACACCAAAGTTGGCATAGTTGGAGTCGAAGGATGGCTGACGCTCACGGTGAAAGAATTTTTTGAATAACTCATACGGTTTTTGCTCAGCAGTCGTTTGTTCGGAGGACATTTTAAGCACCAGAAAGCTGGGGGAGAGGGACCTGCTGCAGCTAGCCCAATTAAAAGATCAGGTGTGAGAAAACGTTTTTTCTTTTTCTTTCTCTTCCCATTCAGGTTGTAGATGACCTACAGCCATGAAAGTTACTCCAATTGAAGACAAGATATAGCTGTAGCTTAGATAAAAATAATTTTTCAGATATCATTTATGGTTTTTACTCAGCAGTCCTTTGTTCGGAGGGGGGCTTTAGCAGCTTAAAGGTGAGTGAGAGTGTGTTGCTGCAGCTAGCTCAGTTAGAAGCTAAGGACTGAGGACCCGTTTTTCTTATTCTTTCTCTTCCCATTCAGGTTGTAGATGACCTATAGCCATGAAAGTTACTCCAATTGAAGACAAGATATAGCTGTCGCTTAGATAAAAAGAATTTTTCAGATACCTTTTACGGTTTTTACTCAGCAGTCGTTTGTTTGGAGGGGTGCTATAGCAGCTTAAAGGTGACAGAGTGTGGTGCTGCAGTTTAAACAAAGGGAGGAGCAGGTGGGATCAGCCATTTTGTTTGTGCTTCGTTTTGGGTTGTGAAAGACCTACAGACATGAAGGTTACCCCAGTCTGAGACAAAGGATAGATGTTTCTTTCACTGAAAGAATTTTTCTAATACCTTTTACGGTTTTTGCTCAGCAGTCGTTTGTTTGGAGGGGGAGCACCTGGAAGCTAGCTAACAGTTAGCTTCTGCATCAGCCTGCCTGAGGGCAGCTGCTGACATCTTACTGTGAGGAGGCCGTTTTTTTAAGATAAAAGATTTTGTTCTTGCCTCACGGCCACATATTTGGAGCTACAGTCACCATTTTTGGTCAGTTTGTAGACTGAAATCTCTGGACTCACACAGTGTCTTCAGAATTACGGTAGGATTAATACTTTTCCTTAAAAACGCTCCAGACCGACCTAAAGTCGATGAAAATCAGAGCCGTTTTTCATTGGTTTTGGAGCAGAAGAGGGGAGAAAAACGAACACCACTATGTGTTTTCAACTCGTCATAAATATTTTTCTGAATGACACACATACACCAAAGTTGGCATAGTTGGAGTCGAAGGATTGCTGATGCTCACGGTGAAGAAATTCTTTGAATAACTCATACGGTTTTTGCTCAGCAGTCGTTTGTTCGGAGCTGTTCCTCCCATTCAAAAAAGCCTGAGAGCTAAGGAACGATAGTGCTGCGCTTTTCTCTCTGTCACTGACAGGCTCGTTAAGCGTTGTCAAGGTAACCGTGCTTCAAACAGATTTTACCTCTGCTGTTTTAAACAGCACATATTAATCTAATGGAGGGTGAAAGCACTGATTTAACATTGGGAAATGGATACTATATGACTGATGTCCATGACACTTCCCTTGCCACTCAACACTGATAGACTTTCAAAATAAGACTCCAGGGACCCTACAAAATAAAAGCCTCTATATTTTTTACATATATTTATTGCCCTATATGGCTCAACATTATGACCCAAACACAACCCCATTTTAGAGAATAGACTCTAGGAGACTGTTTAAAACACACCCTAAGGCAAATTTCAAAATAAAAGCCTCCCATTTCCGCTTCATCTACTGCCCTAATAACATGGAAAAAAGAGTGATTTAACGATTGGAAAGTCATCAACTATCATTGCTGGGTCTGAACATTTTCTCTAAACACAACTCTGTTGGACTTTCAAAATAAGACTCCAGGGACCCTACAAAATAAAAGCCTCTAGATTATACTAATGCAATAATTGATGCAAATGGCTCAACATTATGACCCAAACTCTTCCAGGTTGTTTTTATTAGACTCTAGTGACCTTTTCAAAACACACCCCAGAGCAAATTTCACAATAAAAGTCTCCCATTTACTCTGTAATACAGCAGCTATTCACCTAATAACATGGAAAACCAGTGATTTAACATTTGGAAATGGATTCTATATCACTGCTGGGCATGACCCATCTTTTGATGCACATCCATGATAGACTTTCAAAATAACACTACAGGGACTCTACAGAATAAAAGCCTCTTCCTTATACACACTCATACATTCTGGCATATTGCTCATAGCCATTTGTAATTTCATCACTGCAATGGCTCTGAGCATGCGGGCGGAGCCCGCCATTGGTGATTTCATCACTGCAATGGCTCTTAGAAGGCGGGCGAAGCCCGCCAATGGTGATTTCATCACTGCAATGGCTCTTAGCAGGCGGGCGGAGCCCGCCATTGGTGATTTTTTTCATCGCTGCAAGGGCTCCTAGCAGGCGGGCAGAGCCCGCCAACTGCGCTTTACCCACTGCGGTTCAATATGGACAAACCATATTACCCTTGTGCATCATACGCTGTGCACGTCTATTTCCCAGATTTCAGCACAAGTGGCACACAGCTCTCTTTGCCCATGACCTAGCCCTCTTTCCTTCCCTCAGCAGCCCTCAAAGGCGTAAGCAGTTGGTCTGGGGAGCCCCAATGTCACTTGCCAGGGCCGTATTGGCCCAGTTACCCAGACGGGCAGTAGGTGGCCCCCCTCAAAATTTCTTTAGAAATTTTCTAGTTTTACTTACGTCCTGTAAAAGGTAAGTTAAAAAAAACAAGCTAACATAAAGCACCCAATAGGAAGATATTACACTTCTCTTTGAGACATAGGTGACCCTGCAGAACACATTTGACTTTACAGTGTGGTCAAATGTGACTTTGATGATGAATGGTTAAAAACTGAGCGCAACTTTTTGATATGTTCCTGTGCAGCTCTTGAGACATCAAGAAAATGTGACTGAGAACCAAGAGAAGCAGATGAATCTGAAGAAAGACCTGGCAGAGATGCAGGAATGGATGACCCAGGTCGACGAAGAGTTTCTAATGAGAGACTTTGAGTATAAAAGTCCTGAGGACCTGGAGACATCGCTGGAGGAGATGAAGGCATTTACAGAAAAAATATGAAATCCTTATATTTTTTTCATAAGAGCACTTTAGCAATTTGTTCTCTGTCCTCACATGTGATCTTCTCTTAAAGAGGGCTAAAGAGGATGTGCTACAGAAAGAAGTGAAAGTGAAGATCCTGAAGGACAACATCAACATGTTGGTGTCCCAGACTGCCGGAGGTTCTGGACAGGAGCTCACCTCGGAGTTGGATGGAGTTCTTGCCAACTACCAAAAGCTGTGTGACCGCCTCAAGAGCAAGTGTCACACACTGGAGGTAAAAATATTTCAACCGGCAGAAAGTTAAAGCAAAAAAATTGCCTTTTTCAGTCAAAAAGTTGCTCACCTTCTAAAACATTTTTCCAATAATTTATGCAGCATGGTCTAATTAAACGTTGGTCAGCTCAGTATGGTAATGACAGTGTTAAGAATTGTCTCGTTGTTTGGGCTTAATTTGCTTCATTTACATGCATTAAAATGAGTTTGTTAGCTAAATATTGAGGATTTTAGAGCTAGTTTGACTTTATATTATCCGTAAAGGTCAATGTAACTCTGGTATTTATCATTTTTATTATTGCTTATCAGTTTAATAATCGAATTGCATGCACTTTGTAGGAGGTTTGGTCGTGTTGGATGGAGCTTCTTCAGTACCTGGAGATGGAGCAGAGCTGGCTCAACACTGTAGAGGAGAAACTGCAAGCTTCTGAGAACGTACTAGAGAGTACAGAGATTGTTAACGAGGCTCTGGAGGTACGCAGACACTGAATTATGTCGCCTTGATACACTTTGCAAGAATTTACTTAATTAGGATGGATAAACATTATTCCATTTAATATTAAGATAACAATAGACAGCATTTATTTAATTATGAAACATTCAGGCTAACATGGAATATTCATTTTCAGAAATTCTCCCAAATATGTTTTCTCATTCTGTTTGGCTCTGGGCTTTGTGTAAAAACAGCCGCCTCATAAATATGGAACTCATTCAATTTAAATAGACTTGCATGTTTTTTTGCAAATAAATTTAATTCGACTAAATACATAAATGATTTGTTAAATAAACATAACTTTTTACTTTTACACCACACTGTTGAAGCGCTGTGAGTTCCACAAATAAAAAAAACTAAGAATAAGTTATTTTCTGTATGACCTCCTCAGCTTTTATGTACGATGAGGTCATATGTTTTATTTTGCTCTAATAGAAAAATGTTGCTCTATTACTTTCTGCATTGCTGCTTCCGTTCTCTGAACTTTAGTAATCTCTTCTAAGGTCATCTAAGATTTTTATGGTTGAATTCTGTCTTCTGCCGTTTAGTTTCAGATTTACATCTGTCCTGCTCGGGTTGTTTGTATTGATTTACGATATGTCATTATACACATACCTTTAGCTGTTGGGTTGAGGTTTATTTTACGGATGTTGAAGTAAAGCTGAAGCTTGGCATGATGTTTCTTAATAATAAAAACAATCACCATCCACCATGCCTGCACTGGAAAAAAGTCATTTTTTCTTAAATTAAATGCATTTTTTTCTTGAATTGAGGAGGTAAGTGAGACACTTTACCAATGAAACAAGACGATTTACATTTAAATTAAGAAAAACAACAATTGCATTGTCTTGTTTCAGGTTCATATTTTAATTTAAGAGTAAACATACTAATTCTGTTGGCAGATCATGTTATTTACCTTCTCAAATTAAGGGGAAATAAACATTTTGACTTATTACTAGATCGTTTTTGCAGTGTGTTCATTTTCTTTACTTGGCTGTCGATAGAAATGCACTTTGTTTGCAGCTTTTGTCTCAAACTTTTTCCACAGAAGCAGATTTTTCTGACAAAGCCACATCTATTAAATAGTTTTCAGTGTTTTTTCCATCTAACCACAGAAACAGCTTGTTTAAATACTGATGTCTGGGAAGATTGGCAGCTGTCTTTAATCTCTTACACTTCAAACTTCATGATAAATGGGTTATCTAAGAACAGCCTTGGCGTTTTGCTGAATTTGGAGTAAAATCAGAGTGAAGAAGTGCAAAGTATTTGAGACAATCTGGAAGAAGATTAAATGTGTCTGACTCTGCTGTAAAGACAAGTTGTTCAAAGCAGCTTCTTGATTGGTAAAACAACAGATGATCATGTTCAGATTTTTCCTTTTTTCATATAAAATTCAATTTTATTTACAAGTATTGTCAGGTATCATTTCAGCTCTATTAAAATAATTTTAATTTATTAAAAATGTAGGTTAGATCATATTTTCACCTTAGTTTAAGAAGCTTATATATTTTAGTTTCACTGAACAGAAAAAATGTACCTTTTAGTGACGAATAATTTCATTCTAGGCGAAATGAAATGTTAATAACCTCATTTGTCTTTGATTTGCCTTCCAAATTTCTTTTGCGTTGACTTGCTCTGCTGCTATATCTGTAGATGGCCTGCAGCATTTCTGTCAGAATGGGTCTCATCACGGGGCTGCCTCTGTAGCTTCACATTGTGATGAAATCAACTGAAGACCCTTGAAGTCAATGTTTCCCCTTCTTGTCCATGTCCTTCGCATCAGTTGTTTAAGGCTCATTTTTTAGCTTATTTCTTTCTCTCCCGATAATCTCTCCTTCTATCTATCTATATTTTTCTCTCTCTTTGCTTCTTGTACTCCCAGTTTATATTTTTTAATTTAACTTGGCCCAGTCTGATGGGAGGGGGCCATCACTCTCTGTCCATTACCTCCGGGAAGGAAAAGCATATTTAATGAACCTGCATAAACGATGCTGGATCCAAACGTCTCGTCACTCAAGAAGCTCAGTCTCTTTCTTATGATTCCTTTCTCTGCCTCTTATTGTTCTGTTTTTTTGGGGGTTTGTTTCTGTTTGACAAACCCAGCAGATTCCACATCTTCCGCAGTTTTTTTAATTTCTCTCCTTTTTTGTTGTCGCTGTTATCGTTTTTTTCTTTTTCCTCCATCAACAGATTTTGTCTGACTCCTGCAGTTCTTTTTAGATTGATGACAGGCTTTGGTCAGTTTTTGTGCCAAGTTTTGGAACAATTTTTCTTTTTGTCTTTTATGATTAAATGTATGTTTGTGCTTTCTTCCTGCTGCTCACACATCTCTCCGTCTCACCAACGTCCCGACAGTCTTTGGAGGGCGTCCTTCGCCACCCCGGGGACAACCGGACGCAGATCAGAGAGCTGGGTCAGACGTTGATAGACGGAGGCATACTTGATGAACTCATCAGTGAAAAACTCGAGGCCTTCAATTCCCGCTACGAGCAGCTCAGCCATCAGGTTGGGACTTTTCTTTGTCTTTTTCCATCTGGATGGTTGTTTTGTTTTTTGTCTAAAAAAAATAAAACATTTTTTTTTGCACATAAATGCACAGAAATCCTTCTCCTTAAACATTTCTACACATGAATACTAAAAATGATCCCACTTTATTTTGTAAAACATGCAATGATACAGTCGTGACTCTCAGTAAATTAAAATATCATCAGTAAATCTTTTTATTTCAGTTTGGTTGTAGTTCAGTTAAATATGAAAAGTAAAAGGATTTTATTTTTCACATAGCTATAATTCAGGATGCTTTAATAGCTCCTATGCTTTCATATGTAACGTTATGTCAGAATTTTACACTGGACATTAGTTCTTATGTGGTACTTGCTAAAGATGTTACCCCATCATTTAAATGTCATACTTTATATTTCAAAGGGGTCTTAATCAGTTGATCCTAATGGGATCTGAATTTCCTGTTTTTTTTCAACCTATTTTCATGCTTTGTTGGCTTTTTATCTACTTTAGTATCTAACATTATTTAGACAAAATATTGTTTGTTTTTCTGTTTATCTAACTTGTCGGCAGAAAAAGACCCCTTAAAGATGCATTAAAATAGCATCTATTTAGTTGATTTATATTACACCTACCTTAGAGCACTTTTTCTCTTAAAGCACGTGCATAAATGTATTTTTGATTCAGTCCAATCTTACAGACAGATGAAATCATCTATGACCGCTTCTTATGAATGAAGAAATAAGAATTTGAACAGTTTAACAGATAAAACATGTTTTAACTCTAAATGCATGAGAGCTGACATGGATGGATCTTGTATGACCTTCAGATGCTGTTGATCTGCTGTAGAAAATAATAAAACAGTTTAAATATAATGTTCTAATTGCCTTGAAGGATACTCTATATTTATTTTCAGATAGTTCATTTAACCCTTTTTCTATAAATTCTACATGAATTTTATTACCGTAATGATCAAAGAACAATCTTAACTCTGTTGGTGATCAGACATAAAAGTGTGTAAACTTAAAAACAAGAACTCTCCAGTGTCTTTTAATTTTAACATCTTCCTCTCAGCCGTATCTTGTCACAGAAGGAGCTTTACTCGGTGTTATAACAGAAGGTTGCCCCTTTCCTGCCTTTATCCAGCTACTGTAACTCATGTCTGCAGCTCTGGAGCTCCACACAGCGACTCTGGTCTGCCTTGCCTGCAGTACCTGTGCTGCAAAGTTTGTGCACAGACACGTAAAAGGTTTTGTACTAAGAGGCAGGTGCTGCTATTAGAAGGACTTTACCATCATTTCTCAGGCTTCTGAGGTTCTGACAACATATCAACCCTCCAAGTTTTGTTTCTGTTATTTTACAAACTTGGAAAATATGAATAACTTTAAATTAGAACTGCAACTAAAGATTATTTTGCAAATCCAATTTTTTTCGGTTAATTACTTAATTATCGGATAGCCAAAGGTTCCTTAAAGAAGATTTATTAAGAAATTAAACCAGGTGAAATTACAACTTTTCCTCTTGAGCAGTTCTGGTTAAAGCATATCGATGGACGGAAAAGTTTTTTAAAAATCTTAAATGCAAAGTCTTTACATAAATATGTATATATATATTTTTAAGTTTGGTATAATTACTGCTCTAAGTGGGTCACTCTGTTAGCTAAAGGCATGTTTTAGAGCCCCTATACTCCAGTTAACGATTTATTAGTGACTAAATTAGTTGATGATAATTCCAATATTCACGATTAATCTGATTTTTTGAGCCCTACTTTAAATACCAGGATGTAAAATGAATCATCTGTTTGTAATGAATTAATTTAAATTTTTTTTTTTTTTTAATGACCTACTAAAATAAATAAACTTTGAAAATATATTTTTCTTCATTGACTGAGGTTTGTTTGTGTTCTATATTTTATATATAGTGAATTGATCACCCCTTTTACCCTTCTTGTAAAAAAAAAAAAAAAAAAAAAGCTTTAATTATTCATATTTTCATCGTAGCTTCCAAGCTTTTTTTCAATGTTTATGTAGCCGAGTCTTATTTGGGTAATTACACAGGCTCTGAGTGGAACTGAGTAAATCTTAATTAAAATCCCTGATGGACATAGTTTAAAGCCCTGACCTGCTGTTCGTGTCATTATTCAGGCGGTGAACCGGCAGATCGGCCTCGAGCAGCAGCTGCAGACACTAAAGGAGAACGAGGAGGTGCTCCAAGCGCTGCAGGAGTCCCTGAACCAGCTGGACCACACACTAACCTCTTACCTCACTGATCGCATAGACGCGTTCCAGCTCCCCCTGGAGGCACAGGTATACCACCTACACATTATTAGCTCCTGAAATGAGGTGAGGTCCACAGAGCCTGCTTCTGTTTATAGGCTCTGGATTCTCTCACTGTTGAGAAATTGGGAGGTTTTAGTGTATTGAGGGTTTGGAGGACTTTGTTTTTTAAAACTTTCCATTCTCTTCCACATTGGAAGCCAGTTAATCTATGGTAAAGATGAGTATCATAGACTAATTAATCTTTGGTATTTATACCTTTTAAATTGGACTAAAGTATTGTTAACTTAAAACAAAAAAAATGAACATGCAGAACCCTATACCCGCTCCCGAAAGGGAACACCTTTTAAACACGTTTGAGAGCATGCACAAGCCGATTCCTCCTCGTGCATGCTCTGTTTTAAAGTTGCTGTTCTTATAGCTCATACAAGCTTACTGTTTCCAAGTGTCTGCCCTAACACCTAAACCCCTAAATCACTATATAAAGCGGGGACTTTAAACTATAAGTTAACTGAGTTTGCTATAAAGTCCAAAATGGACAAATAATCACTGCTTTTTGCTCCATTGGTCACTTAACTCACAACAACAGCCTATGGCGACAGCGGCCGCTGTGACAGCAAATCCCATAATGCTTTGCTAGGAGAGCTCTCCGCGCAAAGCATTCTAGGATATATCTGACTCTTCTGAGGCCTTTCTTTTCTTCTCATACACTTCGTAGAAACTTTTTTCTCTTATGACCCTCTGCCGTATTCAAAGAACCACTGTGAGAAAGGTGAGCTCCAAAGACCGTCTGAAACCCTCGCTCACCGAAGAAAGTGCGCAGAAAAAGATGGCTAACTGGGGATGAGCACGTAGGACGGCCTTACTTAAACATGTCACCAGAATGATTGACAATTAGGAGGACCACTTATTTAGATGATCCACCCAGAAATATAAGATCGTCCTCTATACCTTTAAGAAATTGAATCATGAAAGAGATGCAGTGTTCCTACAGTGTCTAGAAAAACCTGAAATATGATAAAAGTATTTTCCAATTTTTTATAATTATGCATGAATATATAAAAAAAAAAATATTTCCAGACTGGACTTCCTTTTCTTTTATCTAATAATTATTTTTTCCTTCTGTCCTAAGCTCTTTCGTTCCAAACTTGAGTATTTTTTTAGCCTGGAACTCTTGAATTGAAATATTTGTGTAAACAGTAAAAAAAACTACAGATGAAGTATCAATTTAATTTGGTTCTTTCTGACAGTTTTCCTGTTTATTAAAATTTAGAAATAACAAGTTAAATTGAGAAATTTCCTGGGAACCTTCTTCCAACCATTCCTCCGTGCTCACTGTGTCCTTTTCCTTCAGACCATCGGTGCAGAGATCGCTGCTCATGAGGTCACAGTAGAGGAGATGAAAAGAAGGAATGTGACCAACTTGCCTCCTCCCACCGCTAAAGGCAAAGTGGCCCGTGGTGGGACCATGCTGGAACAGCTACAGGTAACACTGACTCCTACTGGACAATGTTGGGAACTCTTGTTATTTCTGCTTTATTAATGCACAACATTATCAAAACAAAAACGTTGCTTTTATTTTTTATTTTTTAATGTCTAGGGTGATAAAAGACAAAAGATTAGCATAGCTTGGCTAACATTTGATTTAATCTCTACAGAGGAAGCTGAGGGAGATCTCCACAAAGTATCAGCTGTTCCAGAAGCCTGCCAACTTTGAGCAGCGCATGCTGGACTGTAAACGGGTTCTGGATGGTGCTAAGGCTGAGCTACATGTTTTGGAGGTTAAAGATGTGGAACCTGAGATAATCCAGTCCCACCTTAGTGGCTGCATGGTGAGAAACATCTGCTTTCTTAGTGTTTTTGTTCAACTGTTTAGCCTTTAATAGAATATTGTTATTTCTGCTCATTTTTAACAAGAAGCAAATGTTAAAGAAGTTAAATTATACGCATAAAAAAAAACCCCACGGGTAGACCAAAGATTACATACACCCACTTACAGGGTCAGCATTTAATTTATTTAAATATTAATGCAACTTTTAGTTTATTTTATAATTCTGACCTCCTATGGGTTGAATAAAATAAACATTAAGCAGAACCTGCTGAATTTGTTTGTATGATCTGGTTGAATTGTCTCTGTAAAGTGCCTTGAGATGACATGTGTTGTGAATTAGCGCTATATAAATAAACTTAATTGAATTGAACCTTTTGCAGCTAATTTCCGTTTTAAAAACTGTTCAAGATGTTTCTTAGTTTCAGTTTGCCATGTAAATATTGCAATATTTATTTAACAAATTATTGCTCCTTAAGTGAATGTTAGCTTCTAGAATTGCCTTTATGTGTTTTTTTATTGTTGTTTTGTTTTTATAGAAAATGTATAAGTTGCTGAGTGAGGCGAAGCTGGAGGTGGAGACGGTGATAAAAACAGGTCGCCAGATTGTGCAAAAACAGCAGACTGAGAATCCCAAAGCCATGGATGAACAGCTTACAGCTCTGAAACTTCTCTATAATGAACTGGGGGCTCAGGTAATATAGTTATTTAAAATTTTCCAAACTTCATCTCTATAAAAACAAAACCAAAATTTGGTTGTGTTTAGGATCCCTAACATTTTCATGACCCATCTTTTCATCTATTTGTCCTGCCATCTGTAGACAAATCAAATGTCATTATAGTTTTACATTTAAAAAGAACCTAAGGGACAAAGAACCATAAAAAGTTGAATCTGTGTGGAGGGATTGGCGACCACCTACACATATTCTGGGATTGCCCAATGATGCTTCCTTACTGGAGGGGGGTAAAGAGTGAGATAGACAGGGTTCTGTGTACTGACGTGCCTTTCACTCCGAGACAGTTTCTATTGGACCTAAATCCTGAGGACAAGTACTCCAGAGATCAAAAATTTTTACTACATATTCTACTGATGACTGCTAGAAAAATGGTAACGATAAAATGGAGGAATGCACTGCCTCCTACGGTTGCACAGTGGAAGCAGAAAGTGAAGGAGGTATATGGAATGGAGGCTTTAACTGCCCAATTACAACTGAAGTCTGATGTTTTTGTAAAGAGATGGTTACCTATAGAAAGATTTATTTCCAATTGTACTGAATCCCACAGACTGTTATAATGTATTAACTGTCCATCTTTCTAGTTTATTTGCTCATTTTACATTCTGTATCAGTCAGCTCCATGGATGCTGGATTTTCTTTTACTTGCTCTCCGTTATGCACTGCTACATAATCTCTATGTGCCAAGGAATGTTTAGCAATGTGAGTTCTTGTTCATGTTTGTTTATAAAGCAAATAAACATAAAGTAAAAAAAAAAAAAAAAAAAAGTTGAATCTGGAGATTTCTCAGACCCTGATGATGGTTCAGAGGCCTTTTCTTTGTCTTCACAGGTAACTGAGGGCAAACAGGACCTGGAGAAAGCTCTGTCTCTGTCTCAGAGGTTCCATAAAGAGACTGCTGCCCTGCAGGAATGGCTGAGCACTAATGAAGCTCAGCTCCAGCAGAAGAACAGCTGTGGAGACATGCCAGCTGACATCGAGGCTGAGATTAGATGGGCTAATGTTAGTGGATGTTTATTAAAGCAGATGTTACTGTAGACTTTCTCTAAGCTTTTAATCCTTTGTTTTCCAATCTTCATTTTCAAAATTTAATTACTTTCTGTAAAGAAAAAAACACGCTAAATATAACAAATAAGTGTTGTTCTTTGACTCACCAGAAGGTGGAGCACACAAACTGTTAATAACTGAATCCTGAACGTTTTCTTTTTATAACTTTTCATTTCTTAAGTTTGTTTAGCTGTATGCAAACAATCTATCCTAATATCCAGGAGTCAAAATCCCTACTGAGATTTTTTTATGTTGTAGCTATTTTTTTTAAAATATTAAAGTTGGATTCTTTATTACTCCTATCATTAGTTAAGTTCTTGTATTTCTTTGTCATTTCAATCAGGGTCTGCTGAAGGAATCAGAACGTCGAAAGGTGGAGCTTTCCAACCTGACGGAGGTCAGTGCGGGTCTGCAGACGCTGGTGGAGGGCAGCGAGGCTCAGCTGGAGGGCAAACTCTGCAGCCTTAACGAATCCTGGGGGAAAGTTCACACCTGGACTGAAGATTGGCTGAGCGCTGTTCTGGTTAGAGCAAACATTCCCTACAACTGGAATAAATTATGAATGACAGCCATCACGTTTAATTAAGTTGTTAGAATAAGCAAAGTGCTCTAATTGCTTAATGTTGTAAAACACACAGCTTCTTCTAAATTATATCTAAAGAAAGATATCAGTCTAATAATAATCCTTCATATTATAATCTATGTTAAATGTTATATATAAAATATCTTAGTATGGATTCAGTTTAATCTCTATTATCAAACTGAACATAAAAAAAAAAAGCTTTAATTTTTCCATGTCCTGTATTAAATCTTATTTTATGTAATCAGAGTTTTAATTGCTTGTGTGCCTGTGTGTGCAGAGTCACCAGAGTGAGGTGGAGATATTTGATGAGAACTTGGCTCACATCAGTACCTGGCTCTACCAGACCCAGATCCACCTGGATGAAGCCGAGCGGCTGCCTCCTGCTGAGAGGGAAAAAGAGTTCACGGTAAAGAGCAAAGCATAAACATGGTGTCTTAAATATAACACACCGGTACAAGTCATATGGGAGGATTGGGATTTGTTTTAAATGGTGCACACAACATGTCATGATTTGGTTATCTAAGATTAAGATTGTGTCGCTTTTATTCATTGGTCTAGGATCAATTAAGGTAGTGGATTTATACCTCAATTGAGAGTGTAAAAATTAAGAGTAAAATGTATTTTTTTTCTGATAGATTCATGTTTATTTTTTTAATGGTATGATCCATTTAAAAAATAAAATCTAATAAAAGAAAAGCTTTTTAAATAATGAGATGTAATTAACATGTTCAGTCTCAGCCTTAAATGAAACATATTTACTCCATGGATAAATTGAAAATGAAACATTTTTCATAAAATGTTGAATGTAAAATAAAATAAATTATTCTCTAAAACTGTTTTACCATATTGAAAACCATTGAAGGACGTCTTTTTTACTCTTTCATAAGATCATTTCTATAATTTTTTTCCTACAGTATCTTATTTTTTTGTCCAACTTCAATATTTGAAAGGAAAAAAAAAAGTTTTGGTCAGATATTTGGTTGTTAATTGATTCATTGGTTTTATGTAAATGACATGAGACTAGAGTTGTCGAGGTATGATTGTTGTTTCTTGAAACCAAAGGCGTTGTCACTATCTGGGTGAGACGGCAACTGGCACATAAAGTAATTACCTAAAGCGGTTTAGAATGACATTATAAAATCATTTGTATCCAAATGTTTATTCCAAGCTGGTTAAAGTTACAGAGAGGGTTCAAAAAGGAGATTATCATAAACTAGAGAGCACAGACGTCCTCCAAACAGCACATTTTCAAAGTCTATAGATTTCCCCTTAAACTTGTTAACTGACAAATCAATGACCCTAAAATATTACCTCCTTGAGGAGGTTATAATTGTCAACATATGAATGTTTTTCAAATTTTATTGTTTTTTAGTTTTAGTTTTTTTGTTTTTTTACCTTAACCAACTACAAAAAAAACAATAAATAATTTAATTGATCAAACAAGGTAATCTAATTTTGTAGAAAAGGGATCTGTGAATCTTTATTGGCCCGTTTAAACGGATTTTTACAACATTTTTAATTTTATGGGTTTAAAAAATGCGCTACATTTGGAACTGGACCCACAAAGGGATAAAGAAGAACTTTAAATCTGCTCTAATATGTTCAGATATTTTAACACTTTTTCTTCCCCTAAATGAACCGCTAACATGAATGTGAAACAACAGAAACAGCTTATATTCTTAGTGGCAACTTTAACATTTACTGTATACACCTGATTACTGAGTGAATTCTTTTTTTTTTTTTTTTTTTAAACATACAATTATTAAGTTTTCAAAGTGAAACATACAAAAATCACACACCCAAGTATAAAGCATACATATATATTAAAAAATTAGGGTCCAAGAAAAAATATACTCTTACCAATACAACAATATACTGAGTGAATTCTGTAATTAAAAAATTTAAATTTAGAGCAATCGGGCATAAAATTAAACTCTTTTAATTCACAAGCTTTTTTTTTTCTTTCACTACATCTCTTTGAAATGGGAGAATGTAATTGTGGAAATCTGAACTTTAGTTACCTCAGACAGTGAAAGCTATTATACTTTCCTAATCCTAGACTGCGGCCTAATCCCAAACTGGCCCCTAAACTCTCTGTTTGCTCGTTCCTGCGGAGGGTCCGCCACATAAGTGCCATCCCAAACCAAGTAGTGGGTAGGGTGAGTGGACCGTGCAGCCCTTAAATAGTGAGTCTTCATTAAGTACTTACTCGCTGGAATTCGGCAGCAAAGGAAATACGTTCTGCTAAAATGTAAATTCTGCTGGTTTGCTGCATCTTCCTCACACTCACAGAAAATAACAAGTTAGTTTATTAAAAAACACGTAATTAATCCCAAAATGGAAGGTACTGTCATGAGTAGTTGTATTTGACCGTATACATTTGTTTTAAGAAAGGGGCAAATGTTATATTTAATGTCAGAGAGCAACTGCCACACACGGGGTGTCATTGTATAGCCATAGCAACAACTGCTTTCCTCTTCCGTTGGAGGAAAGGACCCATTCCATTGTCATTTATCCCCCCACATTCAATCAATGTACCTTTCAAAGCTGCGAGTGAGACTTCATTGAGAGTGACACTTGATAGTTAAGGGTTAGTGCTTAGGGGTGGTTTGGGATTCAGCTTGACTCAAAAAAGGAAGGCATTGTTTTTAATTTATCCCAAAACTCCAGTTAGCTCTCCCTCTCTACCCGATGTGAATTAAAATTAAGAGCTTAGCATTAGTTGTATATTTGAATTAAATATTTTATATATTCTGCTCCTACTTCCACTGTTGCCTGATAAAAAGATGAACAGCTAGTTTGTGGTCTGTTCTCAGAGGATGATGGAGGAGTTGGATATGATTGGTCGGCGCGTGGACAACGTCAGGGACCAAGCAATCATCCTGATGACCAGCAGGGGCCCCGCCTGTCGAGATGTAGTTGAGCCCAAGTTGGCAGAGCTGTACTGCAACTTTGACAAAGTTTCCCAGCACATAAAGTCTGCCCAGGTACATAAAGAGGAGTCATGTTTCATAAAAGATTTAACCTTTAAATTATGTCATTTTTTTGCCAGTTTTCCTTTTTTTTGTTTCTTTTTTACTCTGAGAAGATGACGACCAGTGATTTGGAAATCAATCAGAAGTTAAATCTGCCTTTGTTTAAATTGGGTTTTAATGATTTAATTGGCTAATTTCTGATTTAGCAGAAATGTCCCTTTCTTCGAGGACCTGGTCAGATAAATACTCCTATGTTTGCAACTCGAACTTGAACTCGACATACCCTCTGTTTTTTTTGTTTTGTTCCTTTAAATCAGGTCACTAACAGTCTGGAGAGCCAGGCTGAAATAAGGCCTGAGCCTCCTGAGATAAAGGACCTTCAGGTAGAGCTGGAGAACACGCTGAAGACTCTCCATCAGCAGCAGCTCCCAGTAAACATCCTCGATGATGACGAGGTACCCATTGTTATCATGATTTATTTCATTTTTAAATCACTCTGCACCCTAATAGAAACATTTCCTTTGTCTGATTGGAGATTTAATTGTAAGGTTTCTTGTGTATTTTGAGCACCAAGAAGGAATCTTGACCCCAGTTATCCTCTTTATTATGTTTTATGATGTGTGCTATAAAGGATAACCTGAAATACAGGCTATATACTGTAAGGCTGCCATCTGATAAGGCCTGCTTTGATTGAGAACATCAAGGTTTAACTCCTTTATGACTGTAAACACACCAGCTGGGAGAAAAAACTTGACCGATCCAAGCGGAGGTCATTGTCCCCAGTCAGGAAGCGCTTTGTTTTCTTGAGTGGATCCTCTGTAGCGCTTTAAACTTCATCCGTTCATAGCAGCCTAAAGAGCTGAACTGAATTGGCAGGAATCTGTGTGCCTTAATCCAAAACCTTTCTTTGCTTCCCCTGTACCAGATGGATGAGGAGAAGGCCAACGTTGAGGGTTTGCTGCAAAGAGGAGAAGAGCTGCTGCAGCAAACTTCAGACGAAACTCAGAGGGAGGAGCTGAGAGTCATGCTGCTCAGGTTGCAGAGCCAATATTCTTCCTACAGGGTGAGACAAATAAACGGATCCCTTCTTTTATTTTACAAATGTAAAATCTATGCTATTTAAATATTTATGTGCAAACTTTATCTTGTTTGTGTTTCTGCTTGCTTTAGGGCAGAGTTAGGGAAGTCACAATGTCTCAGAGCTCATCATCAGAGTCTGAGTTTGTTGAGCAGGTAAGTGACGGATACATGCAGCGCTTTCAATAGGCGTAGGCTAATTACAGTTACAAAGGTTCTCTAAGGTTTCAAAACTGATCAGATTTACTGTCTGTGAAAAAATCTTACAGCCTTTTCTTTGTTCTACAAATTAAGCTGTTTGAAACTTGTTCCAGTTGAGAAGAAGATGCAGAGTCATGCTTTGAAAATAGTTTCAATGCCTAATTAAAAGGCTGTGGGTTAGATATTAGATATGCACAATGCGGTTTATATATTAAGTTCCCCTTTAGTCTGTATTTTTGCATTTAAACAGGACTGGCACATTTATATACTATTATTATATCTGTAATAATAGTAACATAGAAATGTTACTATTATTATATCTGGAATAACAAGTGTGATAAATTAGCAGGAGTTATTGTCATAGATTTGTTTTTATTCTTTATTGCTTTCAGAGTTTTGGCCCAGCACCATAAATCAGTGGTAATTTCAGTAAAAGCATACGAAACAAATCTCATAGCAGCTCATATCTACATATATGAAGGAGTTGTTGCTGAAATATAGAGCTTCTTTTACTTATTTTACTCTATCTTCTCCCTATAGATTTAATATTATGGCTCGGTTCTAGTGCTATAGATATATTCCTAATTTTAGTCTTAATTACTTTGCTAACATCTTTGTAAATTATAATTTGGCCTTGTAAAATTGCAGGAAAGAACCAGTTCTGCATCTCACAAAGCATTTAAACTAATTCCCTTATTTTTGTCGAAAGCAGAAGGCATCTGCTCAACACTTAGGGGACCAAACTCCCCACGGAGTATGAAGCAATAAAAAAAAAGCTAATGGCATCATCGTTTGATGCTTGTGTCCCGTCTTTCTAAAGCCACCCTGGGAAACCACCCACTGGTCCATATCAGAAGCTGCCACTTGATGTCGGAGCACGCTGATTCTGGAAGAACTATGAGCCACTGATTCCTTCTGTTTCTGTGTCATGCAGGGCCCGGCTGCAACAGGGCGCAGCAGCACACAGATTCTCTCTCCTTCTGATTACCTGTTGGAGATCAACAAAGTTCTTCTCACTATGGCCGACAATGAGCTGCTCCTTAACTCCTCGGAGCTTAGCGGGGGGCTTTATGAAGACTTTTCAAGCCAGGAGGACACTCTGAAGGTGGACATTATTCCAAAATACTGCCAGCTAAAAATATTTGCAAAAAACTGAAAACAGATACAGATGTTGTTTTAAAAATCACCACTTTCTGTTAGTTTGTTACATAAACTCTTATTTAAATACATTAAAATTAGCAGCTTTGCAAACGTTCAGATAATATTCTGCTGTTTTTTTCTAAACGTATGTGTTCTTCTGCTGAATGTTTGTATTTTTTCCTCATTTTTGTTATATATACATTTATTCCCCAGACTATTAAAGATAACCTGGAGCATCTAAGCGAGCAGGTCACAGGAATCCATGAACGGCAGCCTGAAGCCATGCGAGACGCATCCCCTGATGAAGTAATTCAAATAGGAGACAACCTTACACAGCTGAATGCGGAGTGGGACCGACTCAATCGCATGTACAATCAGCGCAAAGGGTATGTTTAACTTCACATATAGACTTACAGTTGGAAAAACTCAAAACTGATGAAGGAGAAAATTAAGAAACCGGGAAATCGAGAAGCTTTGTGAACCTCTGAGTCAGGGCTTTTGATGAAATCTGCAGGGAAATGGAAGGCCAGCTGTCCACAGATAAATATAGAACAGTACACGATGCAGCACGCGTTTACTGACCTTCATTCATACTGAAGCCGCTCCTTCAGCATAAACAATCTAATGCCTGTTCACAGATTCACTCCCATAAGTACACAAATGATAGTGGGTGACATTGGCCATCATCAACCTGATTTCTTCGATGACAGTGGTTGTTTGCTGATTGCAGCGGGAGCAAACTTTTATCTAAGCTAGTGAGAAAATGCTCATGGAAACACTGAAGCTCTCAGCCTATAATCACAGAAACCTCTGGGTGTCCCTGCAAATCAGAAGAATGGAGCTTGATTTGTAAACCAGCTCATCAAAAGCTCATTTCCTCAGCTTGTCTCTTTCATCCCTTTTGTTCAAAGAGATTCTGCAAAACGAGGATGCTGATGAGGCTCAGATTTTTCTCTTTTTCCAGTTAACATCCTACTGGTTTAGATTTAATATTCACCGGCACTACAGGGGGGACTCTGGGTGGTTTCAGGCCTTCCTGAGTCTAATAGATTTCTTTTATAGATATTAAACCATCAGTTTTTATGATTTCCCATTAAATGAACCAGATTTAGTTCTCAGACGGTGGACTTGTGTGAAGCTCTGAAAGCTGACAGGAAAGAAAGAAGCTAAGAAGTTATATGGAGCTATATTGTATTGTTTTGCAAACACTAATAATTCATAAGCAGTTTATTCTTGCTCAGTCCAACTATATGCTTTTTACATCCATTTTTCTTCATTTTACTCAGCGTCTTAGTACCTCTACTTTTGATCATATTAGGTAACTAACAAGAGAGAAATTTGTGCCAAAGTAGTTGTTTTCAGCCAAATTAATAAATTACCCAATAAGGAAACCTAAGATTTAATTTGCTCATGTCTGTTGTGCGTTTTGTTTTATTTTCTCTATTATTAAAGCTGTGCAAACCAGTGTAGTCTCTGCTGCTAACGCTGTGATGTTGACTTTTAGCTTGATGACATTTTTCCTAACATCTGCATGACTCTGGGTTTGCTTTTCATGTTGTTCTATAGGAGTTTTGACCGTGCCATAGAGGAGTGGGGGCGGTTTCACTGTGACTTAAAGGATCTGACACAATGGTTGACTGAAGCTGAGACCCTGCTGTTAGAAAGCGTCGGCCCTGACGGACAGCTCGACCTCGGTTCTGCACGGCAACACCAGGAGGTCGGTTCGTGGGGCGGGGGCTTTATACTACAAGGGGCAACAATTTCATTAGAGATACACTGTCAGCAACTTTCTAAGTTCTATACAGGGCAATTAAAGTCTCAGATTGGCGATACAGTATGTCAGAATATTTATTTTAAATGTTTTTTTTCCTTAATGGGTAAAATAAAGTAATTCCACTTTGAATTTCATAAACATACTTTTTATATTTTGATTATGCAGAAGAGAAATGAGGAAAAAGTCAAGATTAAGATGAGAAAAGACCTTGCCTTTGACTTTACTTCATCACTTAAGTGCTTCTTTCAATTCTGCGAGAAATTACCTCCTTTAAGGCCGTTCTATTATCGCTTACTGCACTTCCACCTTTACCAGGGAGATGTGTAACACTTGAGCTGAGCTCAATCTGTCTGGATACATTTCATGTTTTCACTGCTGCTAATGATGAGAAGGAGGATCAGGTGGAAAAGAAGTGAGACATCCGACAGCTGACTCGCCCTACAATCACTCACCTCACTTTACAGGGCTGTCGCTGCTCGATAAATCTCTCCTGTTGGAGGGTGAAGATTTGGCAGCTTAAATCTGGACCTCCTCAAATCATCTCTTCATGTCGATAATGGATTTGCTTCGAGAGCTGTACTTGAGCTTAGGATTTAGTATGAGCTGCATACGATTATTCTGTTTCTCTGAGAGCTAGTTTTCCTTTATTTCTTCTTTAAGGAGCTGGAAGAAGGACTTTCCAGTCATCAGCCCATCCTGGCTGGTTTGACTCGCACCGGGGAGAAGATAATTGGGCAGCTTTCATCTCCTGATGGGCCCCTACTTGAAGAGAAGTTAGAAACTCTGGTGCAACGTTGGAGAGCTGTCAACCGACAGGTCTTAGACAGACAGCGCAGGTATTCACAGAAAGGCTGGATGTAAGATGAAGCGAATGCAGTGACATTACTCCATCCAAATCTCACAATACCTTGATCTGAATGTACAATAAAGTGCTGCTTTTTACCCAGAGTTCATGGTCAGCTAACTGTCTGTGTTTACTAGGGCAATGCTTTTACTGCAGTCTAGAACTATAATTTAAATGTGTTCTTTAATGAAAACTGCATCCTGCAGATCCTATAAATGGATGCACAGTAATGTTTTGCATGCATGCGTACGTTTCTGTGTGTGTGTAGGCTGACTGGGGGGGATCCAGCCCTGTCAGACCTGGTGAGGAGATGTGACAATCTCGCTGTGTGGCTGGATCAGGCAGAAAACGCTGTTGGCTCCCTGCCAGTGTCAGCCACTGATGAAAACCTGAAGGAGCTGAAGGTACGGTCGTCTCTAACCCAATGCAGAAGCATATTTAAACATTAGGGGACAGAGATGTTGCTTGTTAAACTAGTGACTAGCATCATATAAATATTTAGCTAGATGATTTTTTTTTTTTTTTTTTATCTAAGACATTGACTATCGTTTAAAGAAGATAATAAGAAATCTTATTTTAGTAACGGTGCCATGTTAGGGACACAGTCAAAATGCTCTGGTCATGTGATGCAAAACTGTACTTTTGAGAAGCATAAAGTTTTAAGCGATGTTTTCTTAAGAAGTGACACGGAAACTGGTCAGAGTTGATCAGAAGATAGGAAAGCTGTTGGAAATCTGTGGCTAGACTTAAAACTTTGTTCGCTATTGTTCTTCAAGCTTTAATAACTTTTTTTAGCAAAGAAAACTGACCAGATTTTGGCCTGTTCTCTGTCTGTTATGCTGGAGGAGCAGTGGCCCAAAATACATTTTCACTGATTCGCTACAAAATGTTCTTCTGTTAAAATGCTGATTGGGGGTTTGAATATATGGAGAATGATAAAATGTTAAAACCTTGGATCCTTTCCCTTCCACTTTACAAATATCATAAAATATAATTTCCTTCTGTGAGCAAAACAGTTGAGTTTAACTTTTTTTATTAATTCTATTTATTTTTCTCTCTCTGGTGGACAAACGCTTTCAATTCAAACACGTCTTTTGGGAGAGATGCTGTGAATACTATTAGACCTCTTGGTTGTTTCTTTTTTTTTCTTCCTAACTTGTAAATTTTGTAGAATTTATGGTGGAGTGTGTCTGTGTTTGCAGGCCCTTGCTGTGGAAATGGATGCTCAGAATGAGCGCCTTGGTTGGCTGAACAAACACGCTCCCCAGATCTTGGCCAGTCCTGGTGTGAGCATTCAAAGCAGAGACCATCATGTTGGAAAACTAAGAGCCATCAATCTCAAGTGGAGCAAGGTGCAATTCGCTTTATAAGCAAACTTAATGTCGTCCTTCAAACTCCTGTTTTTTACTTCCTTTTTGAGTCTTTTCCCAGCTATTATTGCCTTTAACTTCTTTCCCTCTGCAGGTGACCCATGAATTGCTAGGTAAGGTGGGGGAGGTGGAGACAAACCTGCAGAGTCACACCCTCTTCCAGGACAGGATGACCAAGCTGACCGACTGGGTCGACATCACAAACCAGACGATTGTTTCCAGAGGACTGAATCCTGTCCAAGCCCAGGTTCTTTATCAAGACTACATCAAAAATCACAAATGTTCACACAACACTTTTACCTACTGTTTTTCTTTAAACATTCACAGAATCTGGAGGCATCTATGAAAGACAGGAAGAAGGACCTGGAGGACTTGTTGGCTCATTCTATTGAGCTGCAGAAACATCAACAGCTCTCGCCTCAGGAAAAGGTTCCTGATTTTCTATTGAATCAATTTCATACAGGATATATTTATTTAATAACTCTTTTGGGCTAATGTGGTCTAATTCCTGTACTAAGTCATTTCCTTGCCTTTTTGCCATTTTTTTCTTTGCAGGGTAACGTAGAGCAGCTGGCTGCTGATTGGAAAGCCCTGGATGGCCACTTGAGGGAATCGCTTCAGGTTCCCGTCTCGCCGTGGACACCGCAGCAACATGTCGTCCTAGATCAGCAACTTGGTACTGAACAATAGGCAATTATTTTATTGTGTTTCTATGAATCCAGGATATAAGTAAATAGTCTAAGAACCTATTTACCTTATTTGTTTTGCTTCTGTCTGTTTTAAATCACAAATTGAGTGTGATTAATTACATTTTAAGTCGAGTTTTATTGACTACACCCCAACCTTATTACTGCCTGACCTGCAGACACAACAAAACTAAAAACAATCCCCTTGATCCTGCCTGATGACAGCATAAAGTAGGGTTAACATTTAAAAAAAGCAACATATTGATCCAGGATGGAAAGATGAGAAACAAACGATTTATGAACATAATTAAAACAACAAATTTCTGCTCCATTTAAAATAATCCATAATATTGCTGCTCCCCCTTTGAGAAAATTAATTACAGTCAATTCGGAGAGAAGTTCTAGAGTCACAAGGCGGTCAGCTAGAGGAGAGTGCGGCGTTTGAAGACGCGGAACCGCATTTGGACAACAATCGTTCTCTTAAGCCCCTGTCGGACTTACGAAAAATCTGACAAAAACGCCGGCATACGTTGGATAAGTTACGGGTACTCTTTGTATAAGTTATGAGCATGCTCCAGATGACCGCTGAACGTGTTGCTAACTTACAGCTGCTGTATAATGGGGTAATGGCAGCGTTTTGGTATAAAAGGGGGGTCCCAGGAGGAAACCATGAGTACTCCTCCAGACTTTATGCCATTATAGGGTGAGCGACATGGTGAGTGTGATGGATCCTCCATGCGGCTACGACCAAAAAAACTTCCTAGCAGGCATGGCGCTGAATCTGAACCTACTACGACTGCGAACCCTCTTTCTTTCTTTTTTCTTTTTCTTTCTTCTTTTCTTTTGGGCAGGCGGTAAACAGCAGCAAGGTTAATACCGCGATCAAAGACATCTTTTTATGTAGACCGGGCGCATTGCTGGTCCCCTCAGGAGCAATTTTAACTGAGGCTTCATAATTACGCTGCCGTGCATTATGCGTAAGTTCGGCTGTTGTTGGACATAAGTTCTGGACTCGTTATGAATACACTATGTATGTGCCCAAAATTGAAAAAAATACATAAAAAATTCAGCGCATACCTGCATTTAAGGATATTGTGGGACCAAATAGTGGTCATTATCAAAGCAAACCTGTACGCATTCAATGACTGTAATATGAGTGCTGTAAGCTGAGAGTGAGTGAGAGTGGAAAGTACTTTTATGATGTGAATAAAGTGACAATTGTATTATTCTGTATATATTTTATGAACTATAACGTCAACGTATCCAGGGACTGCGCGTAGATATTTGCATTTTTGCTATAACCTGGCACATGACATCTCTTCTTGCTTAGACTGTTTATTTGTGCATTGTCTTTGGTCAAATAAAGACATTTATTAAATAAAAGAAATATACCTATCAGTATTAAAAAGCAGTGGAGCATCAGGATAAAAAAATAATACAATTTATACTTAAAGGAAACATGGGAGCAGCGATAAAGTTTCCTGCAGCAACATAATCTATCCCAAAAATTCATAAAATAAACTAGAACAGCAGGTTAGAACAATGAGCAGAAAATTTATTGAATTTGTATGTGCATATAATTACATAAGGACAATATATAGGCTTCATTTAGCTTGGCACAGTTTAAAAAAAACATTTTTCTAAATGTTCCTTTGAATTTTAAATATGCCATTTAATGTCAGTTTTGCTCTCTTTGCTAATGTGCCAGTGTCATCGGCCCCTTCGCCTGTTCCGATGCCCGCCTTGCAAAGCGAGGATTCCCACCATTGGGCCCCATATTCTCCAGACACTGTGGCCCCCACTGATTTGAATAAAACTGCCACCGAGCTGGCTGACTGGCTAACGCTCATCACTCAGATGCTCAAGTCTAATATTGTGACTGTGGGGGACACAAAGGAGATCAGGACGACCATAGGACGCCTTCAGGTGAGTGAAAGGAAGGGAGGATGCAGTCAGTATACAGACAGTGTTGGCTGGTTCTTGCTGTTTAATTGGATTTAATAAAGTTTTGAGAATGCATTTGGTCGTTACCAATTATAGCATGATTTAGAAGAGAACAGCTTGAGTTGCCTGGTCATAAAAAATGGGTGAAAAGCTTCTGTGCTTCTGTAATTTTAATTGTTAGCCATCACACTGAGACAATAAAAACGCAACTCATGTTTTCCTCATTCAGCGGCTGTGCTCTCGTCTTCTCAGATGCTCATTAAAGAGGTCTTGCATCAACTAATTGTATTCATATTCTACCGTTGGCAGTAAATGCAGCATGGCGTCCTCACACTCTGTGCTGCCGTTAATGGGGGCCTGAACTATACCCAGTTGGTTGCTAAATAATTAATATGATGCTTTTTTTTTTGGAGGGGAAAAAATCAATCTGGTGACAAACTTTCCTTGTTGGCTTCAGCGAAAGCCAACAACTACCCTGCATGGGTAGAGGAGGAAATGAGCTGGAAAAACTGAAATAACACTCAGACGTGAGATTTTATTCATTTAATTCCACAAAAGTGTCAAATTTCTTGAAGCTTAAGGAGGACTTTGAGGGTTCATAGTTTAAATTAAAATATACTGTGACTTTCAAAAATATTCATGCCCTTTATTTCATAAATTCTATTTTTTATGTCGTAGAGAAACTAATTTTATGACATAATGATTGGTTTTCTTGCCCAGACTTGTGGTTTAAATGACTAAAGGTTGTTCTGGATTTTATTTAGGTTTATCAGAAGGAAAACGTTCTTCGTAGCTCAAATGCATGGAGCAATAAAATTTTTTTAATGTAAGAAAATAATTTTTGTGTAATACGAGGGATCTATTTAGAGTTTTTGTGATTTATCACAAAAAAGTGTAACTCTTCTTCCAACAATGTCGTCTACTTCCATTCGTGTCAGATTATTCCAATAAATAATTAGTCAGTGCTCTTGTGTAATGTCTTTGTTTTTACCTCCTTACAGGTGACAAAAAGTGACTTAGAACAACGTCACTCCCAGCTGGAGGACATCTTCACCTTGGCACAGAACATCAAAAACAAAACCTCTAACGTCGATGTCCGCACGTCCATTTCTGAGAAATGTACGTACAGAGCAGGTTGTGCTGTTTAACTACATATAAGACACTAAGGACTATAGATAGGTTCAGCACCATTACTCTTGTTGTTTGTCTTTCAAACAATAATTTGTGTCTGTCTGTAGTGGAGAAAGTGCGCAGCCAGTGGGACAGCACTCAGCACGGCGTCGAAACCCGACTCCAGCAGCTAGAAAACATGACTGTCCACAGCAATCATTGGGAGGAAAACAGGAAAGAGGTGAAAGGTCTTATTTCTCAAAATGAAGGACGCTTCCACAGCCTTCTCCAGCGGGCCACAGATCCCTTGACAAAACAGCTTGAGGACTCCAAGGTTAGGGCAGATTTCCACTATGTCTAAGCCATTATTTGTGATGTGTGTAATTCCCGAGGTCATTTACTTTGATGCGTGTCCATGTCACCATGGTAGACTGAACTTTACTTCAGGTTTTTTTTTCCCCCAATAGACAGGAGCAAAACTTAACTCTTATTAGAGGGTTAATGTGGAGCAGGCTAAGCTGGGAATGAGTAAATCCCTCCTCTGAAGTTTCACTTTGATCCTTAATAACATTTACACACCTACATCCTCTTAACTAAGTTTCCTTAAATGAGTTCTGTCTCGGATGTTTAAGAACTCAACACTAGGGGGCGTATGAGTTTAAGATAACAAAGCTTGCTTTATAAACACCTACCCCCACTGGACAGGGTAATCATGATGAGTAATTGTCTATTTAAAGTCAGAAGGTCCTGGTCACATAGGCATGACTTATTTTTTAATGCTAAATGAACGTCTTATATAATCTGCTGGGTTGGGAAGAGGTTGAACAAACACGGTCAAGAAGCTAAGGATCAGATAAATAAGTAAAAATTTTATTATGTTATAATTGAACTTGAGGTTAGGCCAAAGCAGTTCAGGAATGCATGAATTTAAGTTGAAGGGGAAAAAAGGTTCCTTCAGGAAAAGGAAAGTATGGAACAGAGAAACATTTCCGGACTTTATTCCCTGTTCTAATTTCTTCATAACAAATTATTTTCTAAAAAAAAAAGTAGCTCCAATCATTGTTTTTCTGTCTTCATTTCAGTATCTCAGTGCATCTTTTCCTGTAACAGTCTATCAGTCCTGTATTCAGGGAATCAAACCTTGTATATTTTCCGTCTCTTTTGGAAAAACAGGAGTTTTTCCAAGCTCTGGGTCGAGACCAAGCAACAGTCGCAGCCTTCAATGAGCTTTCCACTCACCTTTTACGAGAGTATTCTTCTGATGACACCAGGAGAATCAAAGAGGTTACAGAGAAACAGAATGCAGCCTGGAACAGTATCACTCAGAGGTAAATCCACCATCTTATCATTTTTTTCTATATAATTATGTGTTTTCTTTGTTTGTTGCATATTTGACAAGTTGTTTTGTTTGCAGAGCAAGCGACCGTCGTGCTCAGTTGGACAGTGAGTTGAAGGAGGTCCAGGTGTCTCTAAAGGAGTTGGAGTCTTTCCTTAGGTGGCTCCAGGAGGCAGAGACTACAGTCACTGTCCTGGGCGACGCCTCACAGAGGGAAGATGTAACCCAGGATTCTGCTCATGTAAAGGAGTTGAGGCGACAGCTGGAGGTAGGCCTGGAAATAGAAAAAGAAATGGTGTGTGCTTCTAATTCACGCACAGGTGCTAGCCTATTATCCCAGGTTCATCCTTCATTAACACAGCCCTCAGCAGCTGAACTGACGCCACAGTGTGTGTGTGTGGACAGGCACATCAGTGTGCTAAAGGTGTGTGACTGAGAGGGCATGCAGAGGGCGTGTGAACTCTTGTATGCATTGAATGTGGCTCATTGATTGTCTTGTTCTGCGCTGCTTAGGTATTCAGGCTGTGAGTATTTTCTCGTCCTTTCATTTGCTTTGTCATTTACCCAGTCCTTCCCTTTGGGATCATTTGACACCCGTCATCTTATTCGTCACGCATCAGCATAACTCTAGAGTCATTGATACGTACCTCAGCATTTATAATGGGTACATATTTGTTATACAACCTTCTGAATTGGAAATATTTCTCTGCAAAATCTGACTCTTCTTATCTCCTCTGGATTTTATATTTCAGTTTATTCAGTTTATGTTTTGTTGCTGATAAAATCAGCATCACACTTCTTAAAAATTGCATTTGTGCCAAAATTAGGCAAAATTAATTTGTTTGATTATTACTATTATTATTTACCCTTTGTTTTAAACCCAGATTTAGTTTTACAATTATATTATTCAGAATAATAATAATAGTATTGATATGAAATTATACTTACATCTTGGTTGTATTGTTTCTGTTTTAGTTTAAGCTTTTTACAACTCTGAAGAACTCCTTGGTAATTTGTTAAAACCATGTCGTGTTCAAGGGTCAGTATTTTGCTCTAAACGCTTTAATTAAGCAACTGAATTGTGGTTAAACTTGAGGAAAATCTCAACACACAGCACTTTTTGGGTGTTTCAGAGTTGATTAAAACCCACAGGCTCTTATTGTTTCATTACCCGACGCTGTCGACTTTGATGGATGGTTCTCACCCATTGAATCTGGGTTAATGAAACAGAGACGGATGTTAAACCTCAGACACTGTGTGCTAACACATAGTTGAAGGCTGTGCCATGATTTAGTGTTTAGTTAACTCTAATTCTAGACTTCTAGTTGCATTCTGACTGATGTGTTCCTGCACTCACTGCTTTCAGAAAGGCACAGAGAGCAGAAGGACTTGTTTTGCAGTCCACAAAGTTTTCCTGCATAATTATAAACAGTGCTTGAGATCCAGTGAAATCCAAGAAGCTTCTGTGTATGATTTAAAGTGCTGCTTTTTATTATATTATAACAAACTTGAGTGAAAATATATGTATTTTTTGTTTAATTAATGGGTTATTTTGAGCACAAGCGTACTGCTCTAACCACTATTCAATTCATTTCAGTTTATTTATATAGCGCCAATTCACAACGCATGTCATCTCAAGGTACTTTACAGTTCACTAGGCCAGCACTCCCCGTGTTACTTAGGGTGCCATAGAATGACATTACAGATGCAGCAGTTATTGTGCTTATGCAGCTTCAGCCAAAGATTCGCTGGTTTTAAACAGTTAAAATAAACGTTTTCGATGGATTAGGTGAAACAAGCAGCCATGTCTATCTTGCTCCTGCAGAGACTCTTTCAAAGTGATTAGCTCAGGTTCTAGGTAAATACTAGCATGTCTACACGGTTTTGCTTCAGAGATGCACTGATCTGATACCTGGATCGGCAAAGTGGCTCTGATATTGACTAATTAGCTGGATCGGATATCGGGAAGTTGATATTGGAAATCCAATCTAGTGCCCTTTAAATGGAAACTTTTATTGCTGCGTATTTGTTCATAAATAATATAAAGCCCGACTATATCTTTGTTAATGTGGCAAGATATATGGGTCATCCATTCAACAGATGATAACTCCAGGTATCGGTATTGGATTGGATTGGAAAAAAATTGAATCAGTGCACCTCTATTTTGCTTACATTTCACTTATAACTTATTGACTAAGAACGAAGAAAAATGTGGTTTGGACTAAATATGTGATTAAAAAGACTGAGAAAACATTTTCTCCTTTTTCATAAACCCAGAATTTTCTTTGATCACCCTAAAATCTAAAGACCAGTGCTTCATCTGCTCTTTGAACATCGGAGAGGACATCAGAGTCATCTTAGAGCAGGTCTTATTTAAAGCAGAGCAGAAGTTTCATTATTTTCCTGTTTGCACTTATTAGAAATGGAAAAAAAGATTTTTTTTTAGAGAAAATACATGTAACTATTTTTTCATTTACGCGAAGTTATTTTTCCCACCCATCCATCTTAAGCCGGCACATTAAATAACTACCCCACTATGAATGATATCATAACCTCTAGCTGATGGGATTTTTCATTCTGGCATGTGGTGAAGAGTAACTCCATCATACTGCTCATGTACAGGCATGACCGAAGCTAACGCAACATAGCCTCTAGCAGGAGAGTGCAAAAGGGTACACAGGTTAAAGAGCTGATTTTTATCAAGTTTGACATCCCTATATTAGGCTTTGTTGTTTGTTCATCGAGCAGATGAAGCAGCCTCTGTTAAAGGAAAATCCGGTCACATTCAGAATACAAACTTCTGAAAGTACTTTAAGTATGAAATTATTACATACTTTTCCATAAATGATAAGTGTTTTTAAAGAGTAATTTCAATTGCTTTGCCGGAGACATGTTTGTCAAAGAGCACTACTGCCACCTACCGGTTTGTGATGTCACGGTGCGGTATTGGCTGTTTAGCAAGTCCCAGTGCTGTATTTGGTGTTTGTCACAACGCACTATTATCCATGATGGTGCACTATGTGAAGCAGAGAGTAACATATTAATGGCGTGGCCAGAAGTTCGATGGCGAATCCTCCCTCTTCAAGTTGGCAATCCAACGACGAACCCGTGGAGGATCATGAATTGGAAAGGTGAAATCACTTTTTCACTTTTACCCGATGTATTACAACATCCAACTGCCATGCATATGGGTATTGTCAGTTTAACTATAGTGCTTGTTTATTTCAAAGGTGAAGTCCCCTCGTAATCTTAAATAATTGATGTTGATTGCAGATGTGTCTTGTAGTTCCCATTGATTTTGCTTGTTAAGCGGGGAGAATGGTGCTAGGATTACTGCAACGTGACGTCACTGTCAGGAGTGAGGCGTTACTATATTTGGACAAATATGGCTGTTCTCGGACTCAGTGATCGCTACGAAAATTATTTTTATTTTTTTTAGTGATAAAGCTAAATTCATTAAATCACCACAAACATATTATTATTATTTTTTTTTTTTTATGTTTTTTGTCTGGCAATGTGGCAATAAGAATAATTGTCTTGATGTCAAAAAAGGGCCCGACAGATTTTGCTTTCACAAGTGGAGCAGTACGGCCATCGCCATAGTATTCGGCATCATTTACTCATATAAATAGCTTTATTGCAATGTAAGTAGAACAGGAAAGGAAAAACAGGAGAAAGGAGAAAAGATGAAGGGAGCCAATGATAAAACATCTTCAGTCTGCTTCATCACCTGCAAAGAGATGTAAAAAGAACAGCACAACCAACAAATATAGTATAAGATATACAATAAAGTGGCACCTTGATACTATCACTGAAGTATAAGTGGTATTATTTAATCTGACATGTATACTGTGGTAGCTGAAGATAAGAATATGGGATTTCTATATGGAAGTGAATCTCTAAGTACCTGGAACCAAGAACCTGTAATTGTGAGAGTGCACTTGTGCATGTAAAGTTTATCCAAAGGAAAAATGCTCAGTAGTGGTTGTGAGGAGCCAAAGACCCACCCCCACAGAGCACTGATCCTGCCCCCCTCCGCTGGCTGGCGCTTTGGCCCGCTGGTGCATTGGTGGTGACCTGTTTTTGGGGGGTAGATGCCCTGGGGGTTGCTGGCTTGTTCCTGGCAGCTGCTCCGTAGGGCCTGGCCCTCCAAGGCCCAAGTGGAGCTCCCGCCTATGGCCGGAGCGCCCCTGGGGCCTCGGCTCCCCGGGGCCAATGGCCGGTTCCACTTCGGGGTGGTTGGCTGCCGGCGGAGCCTGCACGCTCATCTAGGAGCTCCGGCATTGCAGCGGCTTGGGGATTTCCTCAGGACCGTCTCTCCCCTTCCCTTGGTGGGGGGGCAGATTTCCTGGGTTGGCCCCTCCTGGGCGCCTTTGCTCTGGGGTTGCCTTTGGCAATCTGGGGTTTTGGGTCCCCCGGCGCTTGCCTCGATAGTTTTAGGTATAAATAATGACCCATTGGTTATTCTTTGCTTACCAGACTTTTACTTTAACACATCTAGATATAACCTGCTACATCCAGAGCTAACGATATGCTTTCCCCAACTTGTAAGTCAGGGATGTGTTGAATGACAAGAATAGATGCTTTTGAGGGTTTGATATTGTTTAGAGGTCCTCTGTTCATACAGTGCTGCCTTTCACTGAGAGTGCACAAACGTCTTTATTTCTATTCATTTGTATAGAACCCTTCCAGGCAATAACGTGCTTTATGTAGCATAATCCAACTATTGTCTGTGACAGTCAATTTGTGCTTGTTTTATATTGTAATTATGTAGAAGAGTCAGTGTCAAGCCTGCTTATCCTCACTTCAAATAAATTGTCCTTGTCTTGTAGAGAGAGAGAGAGAGAGAGAGAGAGAAAGAGAAGGAGTTATTTTTTCCTCTGATTCTTCACCACAAAAATCAATTACAATCATAAAACCTGGAACATAGTAAAACTGGAACTACATTCTTTTTCTAAAATGTACAAAACTGGAATAGTAAACAAGCACTTTGATAAAGTACTTGCTAGGCTGTAATATTTTGAATCCTACATTTCGCTTTCATTTAAGAGCTGATCTAGATCTTAATTTCCAATAGTCGGTTATATGGAGCTGTAGGGATGATGTGGAGTGTACTGAAAAAAAAAAGTTAAATAAGGGTTAACTACATCTATGTAATCAGTTCAATATCAAGTAACATTGCTTTTTCATGCTTCTTACGACCGTTCATTACTGATCAAAATGAAAACTCTTTAGAAATGATTTGTCCACCTATGTGTGCTTTAATAT